TCTCTCGCTATATCTAATATAGAACCTACTTCCAACGTAAAATCTATTTTTCACGTAGAACTGACTAATCAAGCACTTCAGAGTAACACAAATGAAGAAATAGCTAAATCAAGTAGCCAACTTCAAGACTCTGCAAATGAAGGTGAGATTGTTAACTGTAATTTTAGTTACATTAGTATTATATTTCTTGCTTATTTTACCTATCTTATCTTTATCTAGATATAAACGCTTCTAATGAAATTGTAAATCTTTGTGTTGGTTATGTCTTTGAATCATGGGAAGAGGTCGATAAGATTATAAAAATCTACAACAAACGAGAAGGATTTGGCATTGTTCAAAAAAGATTAGAGCTACATCCAAAGGGTCATATAAAGTATCATAGTTATAGATGCGAGTTTAGTGGCTGTTCTCAACCAAAAAAAAAAGTTGACGTTCATAATCACCGTGATCGTAAATTGAAACAACAAGAATGCGAATGGAATGCCAATATTAACTCTCCAAGAAATGCCTTGCTCATAACTCTTACAACTTTTGCCAATATACACAATCACCCATTATATCCCGATGCTCAACATTACGTCTCGATATATCGAAACATTTCTGAAGATGTTCTTAGTGAAATTCAATTTCTTACTGAAAATGAAAATTTATTAATTGGCACTCAAAAAAAGTTATTGAAGGCAAAATTTCTAACTGAATCTATTCTTGACCGCGATCTTTCAAATGCCATACAAAAATTCAAAATTCATACTGATGAAAAGCTGGATGCATCTTGCCTGCTAACAACACTCCTTGAATGCAAATCATATGATCATCAATGGGCCGTTGAGTTCGAGCTGGACAATGAAAACTGACTTACCCGCTTATTTTGGATATTTCCAGAGCAGATTGTTCTTTAATTAGAGTATTATGATGTCATTTTAAATGACAACACTGCCAAAACCAAACGTTATCAAATGTCACTTTCACTTTTTCTCATTGTGGACAACAACACTAGGTCACGTCTTGTTGCACAAGCTCTTGTGTCGGACAAAACAACAGAGTCCTATAAATGGATCCTGGAATGCACAAAAAAAACAACAATGATTGAGTCATTAGTATTCGTTACGGATGCGAATCCTGCAGCAAATGCCGCTGACAGACAAACATATCAAAACACCTATTCAGTTTACTGCATTTTTCATATCAGCAAAATCTACCAAAAAATCTCAAATCTAAGCTTCATAGCCAATATGAAAGCTTTGTTCATGACTTTTTCCTATGCTGCAACAGCCTGTGTGAAGAAAGTTTCTATGAACGATGGTCACAACTTACTGAAAAGTACTCAAATGTTAAAGATTATCTGATGAGAGCGCTTTATCCCAGCCGACAAGTGTGGGCACGTGCATTTATATCAAAAATATTCACAGCGGGAATTCAAACTACCTCTCGTGTTGAAGGTCTCAACAGCATTGTCAAACGCCTATTAACAGCAAGTAGCAGTTTGTGTGATCTTGTCGATGCCTCGATGCAAGACTCCAAGATGAGGCACAGTGGAATCAGTTTTTTGAATATCAGACTATGTTGTCTTGTATGGGAATTGTGTCAGTGGGTCACGATCTTTTTCCTGAAATCGACAAAAAAATGTCCAAATATCTCACCCCCACATATTGTCTGCAGAATGTCTGGAAATGTCGCAATGCCTATATTTCGTTGCAAGTCAAATGGATATTGCGAATAATAATGACGAGGTAAATTAAATCAAATACAAATATTTGAAGTCATTTGGATATAATCTAACACTTTATTATGTTTAGGATTCCAACCTTATTGTGACGGATGAATTCGTTAAGGATTCATATAATGCCAAACAAATTCTATTGAAATCAATAATTGCTGAAGTTGGCGAAGAAAATGTTCGAGAAGTATAGAAAATTAAAGACATGCAACCCAGAAACAGCAAACACTCGCATTTCGTGGTAGTGGTTGATTCTATTTTTTACCTATATTTGTGCATGTCGAACATATCTCGTGACATCATCTGTCACCATTATTTCTGGGTGATGATATATTCAAAAGTCGCAGGATTTCATATTCAAATGGTACCTGTTCGGTGGTATAATGATGAACAAAAAGACAAGGATATAATTACGAGTGCCTGCTGTTTTGCGAATCAAGAATCAGCGAAGAATCAACCGAACGAAATACTAACGCCAAATCTCTCGACTATATCCAAGTCCATGACGTGTGTTTTACGTCGTGCAGCACAACGAAAAGTCAAATATGGAGAGGTGTGGGAACTGGTGTGACATGTAACCCAGCTTACTGTTAATTACAATGATCATAGTGAGATGATGGCATGGTTAAAAGAGTTCATTGACCAGCACAAAGAAACAATGACTATATTTATCAGTGTCACGATCATATATTTCGGACTCTTCTTGATGTTATATTATCAATCGTGACTTCAACCAATCATCTGTTTGTGTTTAATTATCAATTTTGTTTGTTTACTATTAAAATCCAGTTGCGCAATAAATGCGTCTTCTTCTATCATCAAGATAGGTTACTACTACTAATAAATATCTTCCTTTGTATTTACTTAGTGTGTGGACGGTCCTATAGCAATATAGTACTGATATTCTATAGCAACTTGGTTGAATGTCCAGTAGTGCGCAATAAATGCAATAATGTAATTACATGTAATTAATTAAATTGTTTATAAGATAAGATTTAATAAAGGCAGTCAAGTAATAGATTTTTAAAG